CCCCTGTGCTGGAAAATCGGTTTTTACGTCTAAAGCCGGTACGGTTTAAAAAGTTTATTATTTACCTATAACCACGGTATTAATATTTTTTATATTTTTTCTCACCTTTAAACGTTAAGTTATAGTAACGTTAACATTAACTACTTTAAAAAAACATTACTTAAAGAAAAGTTATAAAAAAAATATTATAAAAAAGATATTAAAAAAAAGATTTAAAGAAAAGTATTATTTAATTTTATAACCGTTAATAGTAAGTTAAATTAATTTAAATAAAGGGTAAAATATTTATTCCGCTATCGGTCTCTTAATAAAATAAAATAAAGTTTTTAATTATTACCGGAAAATAATAATTTTTTAATTAAAAGGTCGTAAAAATAATAAAATTAAAGAAATTTAATTAAAAAAAGGTTAACGCTATAAACTATACTTTTATCGGTAAGGGGTAATCGGTTACTTTAATTTTTTATTAAAATAAAGGTTAGGATTAAAATTAAATTTCCGTTAATTAAAAAGTTAATTAACTCTCTTAACGCTTTTAAAATCGCTATCGAAAGGTTTAATTATATAATATTAGCCTAATAAAGGTCGAAAAGTCGTAAGGTCCGGTATAATATTCGGCCTTACAAGGTTGGGTTATCGACGAGGGCGTCGACTTCGATTTACTTAATGATTTAAGCGTTAAAAGAGCTTATAACCTGTTGGGCTGGTGACCTAGGAAAGTCACTGGCTACGAAAATGAGGCCAAAATTAGCCAGAAAAAAAATAGTAAACAAATTGGTATTACAGTAGTTGGTTGTTGGTTAAAAAGTAAACAGTAAGAAAATCCAGCCCCAAGAGCAAACCGGTGTGGGTCTGGGAAAACCTGGGCCCTTTGGTGCCCCACACCTATCGACGTGGCGGCCATATACATTATTGGTACCAAATCCATGGTCTCCATGGAAACAAGCCCGGAAACATCTTGTCGTTGGCTGATATGTTGTTGAAAATGGGGAGCGCTCCCAGGTCGGCTATGAGTTGGGACCGGTGTTTTGTCCTGGCTCCTCATATGTATGCCTTCGACTCATAGGGCATCCCCTTCGTCTTGAGAACCCCGACGGCGTGAGCCAGGAGCATCACCCGCGGTACACCAGAATTGATGCGAGCTCAGTATCCCAGCAGTGGTACAACTGGACAATTTACTGCTGCAAATATTTGATGTCCGAAGATTTTCGGCAAGACTTTTGGCAAGGTTTTTGCAACAGGCGTATAACCCCTGACCTACTTGACTGTAGACATGTGTGCTTTCTTGTTACGCCATGTCGTATCTGAGATTCGACCGAGGCTTAAAGCAATACATTCTTCTGTTATGTATCATGCTTACCTACCACATGCGGGCTGGATGGAAAAGCATTGGGTGTATCAACATGAGACTTCCACACATGAACGGGGCGATACAACAGACAGTTCTTCCCCAAGACCTCAGAACGATGGATCTAGGGGCGAAAATCCATGTTGGCTAGGCCGCAGCTATCTGACTCGCCGCCACCTCGACGACCTCACCCACCTCGGACTTTCCCCACCCTGACGATAGCCAATCGGCGAAAAGGTCATTTTCAAAAATACTACCGCTATCTCTCCCAGTTTCCTTGCATATCTTCATGTCATCTATCCCAATACAGTTGTCTTTGGTCCGTTTGTTCAACAGTACAAAATGCCCTCGGTCCTCCCCTCCGACACCTCCACCACCAATTCCAAGTCTCCACCAGAACCAGCTTCCGCAGTCGACATCATCATCACGCTAGCCATCAACCCCGAAAACAAAGAACAAGTGGAAGCCAACCTCCTCAAGGCGGGCGAGTGGATTGAGAAGAATGAACCGGGGTGTCTTCAGTGGGAGGTGTTTTATCTGGAAGCAACCGGCGAGATGGTCTTGGTTGAGAGGTCAGCACCTATTGAACCCGCAGTGCGATGCTGGGTGACACTTACAATTTGGATTCAGGTTCAACGACCTCCCCACAGCCCGCAAATACCACCCCGAAAACAGAAAGAAAGACGGCATGATTGACGGGGGACTGAAATGGGCGAATGAGATTGTCGAAAAGGGCTGGCTGAGTCAGGAGCCCGACATCAAGGTTTTGAGTCGGAGGGGCGGGTTTGGGTTGAGGAAGTGGCAATGATTGTCAGGATGTTTTGTTGCATGTTGTTTTAGTACACCTCCTCGAGTCTCGATGCAATTTTCAGCATGTTGCTTTCAAAGTCGAGCCCCATCCCTACTGCGGTAAAGACTGACGCGGGCCGGGCAAGTCGGCAAGCTCAACATGCTCCACCGCACTGCTTTGCTCCATTCTCTCAATCCGCTCAGCCAACTCGACGAGTTCAGGATATCGTTCTTCTCCATCGCGCCTGATGCGCTCAGTGATGATTCTCCGTGCGGCTTCTTGGCTGAAGAGCTGGGCGTCGCACCTGGGACAGGCGTCTAGTCTTTTGAGTTTCTCCTTGTAACGCAAGATGATACAGCATGAGATTAGGACTACTATAGGGACAACCAGGAGGCCGAAAATGAGACCGATGATGAGGTTTCCAGTTTCTCTGCTCTCTTGCTCGGATGTGATTTCGGTGTTTGACATGGTTATGGTGAGGGGGTCTTGTTGACAGGTTGGGTCATTCAGAAGGTTTGGTGAACCAGTAAGGTACTCACGAATCGAGGGACAGTTCGTCGAGGTGAGCCAGTGGCTTGGTTGACAATATTCGATATTGGAAACCTGTGTTTGCCGAAGATTCCATTTCGGTCAGGACGTAGTGCCAGTGGCGCTTTTCATGTTGATGTACCTTAGTCAGTCAGTCGGTAGCAATGTTCAAAAAACATAAAGGAAGTCGCATTGATGCATTGTTCGGCTAGGTATTCTTAATTGGAGTTACAATGAGAGATCTGTTTTCTGAACACTCCATTGTCTAGGTACGTATCTGAAGGTATCTCAATGATTGATAGGTACCTTAACTCGTATGCAAGACGGCTCCCCATCTAACAACACCTCAAAGGCGGCTAGAAGAGAGAACGCGAGGCTTGGACTTAATAAGACAACACACAATAACCTCTTACGAACTCCACTGTCGAATGGGTACCATGTCAATGCAAATGGCCTCCCATGCGTGACTCAGAAAAGGATCATCTGCCATGTGGACTAGATTAGCTACAATATACATCGGCAAGGTGGGATCTATCATACTTGTCGCGATCATTTATTGAACTGGATCAACACGGCTGAAATCAGGGGCCACAGGTCGGTGGTCGAGGAGGATATGATGTGGAAGCACGCCGCTGGCATGGATGGCTTCGCATAATGACTCCCTGGCTGCCTGGGAAGCACCGCAGACAATGATGGTTGGCATCGCACTCTCCGGAGACGGGCCTAGCATAAAACTGGACCAAGCCAGGAAGACATCGTCCGGGAACTCCCAGTCATCTAAAACAACAGATAGCCTCGCTGACAATGCCTCAAACAGGTCCCTCGCGTGGCCGATCGCTTGCCAGCAGCGATTTATTCCAACTCTTGCGTGTATGTATCCCTCTCTAAGGCAAGGATTGGGTTCCGGCTCGGTAGCGACGCGTGGTGACACCGAAAGCAATTTGCAAAATTAAGAAAGTAGCAGCATCATGCTCCTTACTGTAAGGTATAAGTCTCGTTTGGCGTTAGTGTACTCGGCCAGACACGGTTACGGCATGGCGAACAATGGAACAGCCAGGCAGCTAGTGGTGAAAACGAGAAAAAAATAAGTGGTCTCGAATCTACAGGCTGGGTAGGGGGTCATTGCTGCTGGCTTTTGGAAACTGCGTGTATTCGTTGGGCATACAGAATCAGCCCCCACCACCCCCCAGCCCAAGTGGTTGAAGACATTGGTTCGGCACTTTGATTCGATATTTTTGTTTACGTGAATCCGTGCAGCGGCCCGTGCACCATCTTTGGCCTTTCCTACCCCTAAACTCCTCCCAAGGACGTTACGAGTTTGCCTTGCACCTACAGGGCAAAGTGAAACGAACGAGATCAGAGAGACACCAGAATTGCCACTGCGGCACCTTTCACTCCGAACTCCGGCACATATGTAGAGAACTTCTCGTACTAGCGAGACCGCCTCATCGTTCTCAAAAAATCTTCGACGAAACCAAACCAAGACCCTCTCCCAATCGTGGTGGATCCGCCGCAAACCAGTACAATGAATGGTACACATTCTGGAATCGCTCTTGTAGTCCTCACCCTAAGCCTCATCTTTAGCATCCTCCAATCCACCAAAACCATCATTTCAACCCACAACGACCCCCACCCACCCCCCCAACACACACCCCCTACCCCGCAACAGAATTCCTCACCATCCCCCTAAACAACCCATCCACATACCCCTCGCTCCTCCACTCCCTCCAATCCCGCGTCAACAACCCCCACCCCTCATCATAATCCTGTATCCCCTCCCGCACATAATAACTCCCCGCCAACACCCACATCGTCCACCCCGCCTTCTCGCTCCGCACATAACTAGCCAAACAATTCGCGTACGTACCCCGCCAAGTATTCACATCCATCGCAAACCCAAACTCACTCAACAAAAACCCCAAACTCCATCTTTCCTTCAAACCTCATACCTTTAAACCCCTTCTTAAACAAATTATATTCCAAAAAAAAACA